GGGCTTGGCATGTTTCTGTCCAGCCCAGTTCCATCCTCCTCAGGAGCTAGAGAGTGACAAGAGATGACAGTGTCTGTTATATCCAAACTAGGATCGTTCCTTATCCCCTTTCCTTTCTTCTTACAGATGTGGATGAATGTCAGCTCAACAGTTCACTCTGTACACCTGGTGGGTTCTGTATAAATAAGCCTGGAAGCTATGTATGCAAATGCAAGCCAGGCTTTGCCCGAAGCAACCAGAACCAGATTATGGACTGCATAGGTAAGACCCGGGGGAGGTGCCCCAGGGACTCCCAGGGGATGAACTGAGCCCCTCAGTGTGTCTATGAGAAGCCCCTGGGTGATCCAGCCAAGGATCAGGGGATAAGGCAGGGAGCAGCTTGTCTGGGGAAGGTGATGCTTCCCCCTGAAGTCAGAGCCAAGAGGGCTGGGGCAGAGCCACCCAGGGGCAATTTGGGCTGTGGTCCAGGGCCTCTGACAGGGGGTCAGCTACAAAGAACTAAACCGGGAACCTCTGATCTGGGAGAGGAAGTGTGGGCCCAAGCACTGTAGGGAACAGAATGTGGACAATGCCAACTGGACACCCTGGAGCCTGTGGGCACTGAGGCAGCAACAGTGGCCTTGGGACAGCACCCACTGGCACTCCCTGCTATGGGACCGTGGATAAGTCACTTACCACTTCAGAGCCTCAGATTGGTCATTTATAGAACACCCATCCCACTGCAGAGGGGTGGGGAGGGAGGGAGAGGAAAGAGAATGAGCATTTATATGGGCATGATGCTAAGTGCTTTATAAAGATAATCTCCTAACAATGTTCTGCAGCTAGGTGGCGCCATAGTGCACAGTGCTTGGCCTGAAGTCACTAAGACTCATCTTTCTGAGTTCAAGTCTGGCTTCAGACATTTGACACTTACTGGCTGTATGACCCTGGGCAAGTCACTTAACTCTGTTTGCCTCGGTTTCCTCATCTGTAAAATGAGCTGGAGAAGACTATGTCAAACTACTCTTGTATCTTTGTCAAGAAAACCCCAAATGGGGTCATGAAGAGTCTGACACAACTGAAAAACAACTGAACAGATGCATAGAGGCATGGGATGACACTGTGAGATGGAGAAGCAGTTTTCCTTCTGTTCTTTGGAGCTCCTCATTGACTTTAGAATACAGGGGGCTGGCACCCCCCACCCCAGGCCTCTCTAGCACATTCTGTGTGGATCTCGATTATGTTCTATGTCTCACTGTTAGACTGTAACACAAATAGAATATTAGTATTGAAAATATAGATCTTTATTATCCAGGAGAAGTTAGGGGTCATTAGAGGAGACTGGCAATTTCTTTTTTTGTTTGTTTGGTTTTTTCAGGGTTTTTTTTTTTTGTTTGTTTTTGCTTTTTGGTGAGGCAGTCAGGGTTAAGTGACTTTCCCAGGGTCACACAGCTAGTAAGTGTCAAGTGTCAGAGGCCAGATTTGAACTTAGGTCCTCCTGACTCCAAAACCAGAATTCTATGCACTGGGCCACCTAGCTGCCCGCCTTGGTAATTTCTTGAACTGCAGCCCGCTATCCTCCTCTGCTGAATTTTGAGCCCAATTTACTTTATATCTATAGTCCCTCCCTGCATGGGCCACCTCTGCCCAGTGCCCTTTGCCTCTTCATATGGGCCCCTCCCTCCTTCCCCAGGCCCCTCCCTCACTGTGCCTCTCTCTATTCAGTGCCCTTAGCTCCTCACTACAGGGGCCACCTCTAAATCCTGGGAACTCTCCCCTTTTCCCTATTCTGTCCATCCTAACTCGGGCCCCCTCAGGAAACCTCAACCCAGGGCTGTGGCCAGACCTGGGCTCTGGGCTGGGAGGTTCAAATCTCTTTCGAGGCTATTACCCAGAAGAAAGAATTGAGGCCATAGGAATCTGACCTGCCTGGCAGTCCTGCCTCCTGGGATCCAGTATTTAGGAGACAGAAAGAGAAGGGATATTTTGAAGGGGACTAGACTGGTGATTTCTGTCTACCAATATTCTCTACCCTACTCTCAGACAGAAGTGTCTGAAACACTGAGAGGCTGGGGGCCTTGGAGACTCATGGAGCCAGCATGAGTCTGAGGAGAAACTTGAACCCAGATCTTCTTAACTCTGAGCCTAGCTCTCTCTTCACTCTGCCACATTCCCTCCCTTATCCAACAGCCTTTACTTAAGTTACTTAATGGCTTCTATAGGAGAATATAAGTACTGTATGGATCATCCAAATTTCAACAACCTAGGACAGAACTCCTGTTATTCCAATGAAGTTACACTCTGTGTGTGTGTGTGTGTGTGTGTGTGTGTGTGTGTGTGCGCTAACTAGGTATGTACAACATGGATTTAACTAAATGTACCAAGGACTGTTCTGATCACAGCGTCGTCTGTTAGTTTCCTCACCTGTAATTTGGAGATAATAATAGTTGTATTGCCTACTTCACAAGACTGTAGCAAACATGCTTGGTAAACCATAAAGCATAAGAATTGTTACTATCAGATTTATTCCTCTGACCAAATTCTCAATGTTGTCTTCAGTGTCCCCAGTATGTGGAAGGATGCAATCTAAGCTAAATGTAGTATTGGTACTGAGTTCATTCTCCAGACCTACAATCAAACTAGCAGAACCAATCCCCAAAGCTGGGCTACTTCTCCTCCCCATGAAATTCTATGATACTCAGAGTAGCTGTGAGGTGGTCCCCCTAAACCAGGAGTAGGGAATCTATGGCCCTGAGGCCACATGTGGCCTTCTAGGTCCTTGGGGGCAGCCTTTTAACCAAGTCCAAGTTTTACAGAACAAATCCTTTTATTAAGGGGATTTGTTCTGTGACGTTTGGATTCAGTCAAAGGTCTGCACTTGAGGACCTAGTAGGCCACTAGGTTCCCCACCCCTGCAACCATGCTTCTTAAGATTCCAAAAGTATGTTTCACCCAATGAGTGTCAATGGATATCCATCAGCCAGACTTAATTACCCTCTAGAAACAGATATTTACTAAAGTGGTGCCCTAAGAACAGTTGATACAAAACATCTCTCCACCAAACCCATTACAGGTTCTCCCACAAATGCATACACACACAGTTCAAGGAAAAGTCTGCTCAAGCTCAAAGGGCTATTTCACTGTTCCTGGTTGCTGATTTCTCCCAATCATGGAGCCCTTATGAAATTCACCTTTGGAGTACTGTAGCTTTCTGCTGGACTCCATAGAAGCTGCCTTTCTTCAACATGACAACTTTGTCCCCAATTCTCAATGCAGACCCTGCTGTCTGCAGCTCTGAGAATGCTGCTAGGAAGATGATAATGGGAAGTCCCAAACCTTCTGGACCTTTCAAGGTTCACACGTCTTTCTCTGCTCACACTGGAGCAAGGAGGGAAGTAGGCAAAGGTTCCTGGCCAGGTGGAAAAGAGGAAGAGAATGAAGAGATTCATTCCTCATCTGGGCAAAGCCCATGAAAACAGGCCAAAGGATAAGCCTGAGCTTGCGCACCTAGACATAGACTCTTTTCTTTCCTTCTCCTCCAATCTCTCTCATTGCCTCATCCCAGTTTCAGACGCTAAGAGACTGATGGCTGCAAACTTCATTATAGTACTAGTGGCCTACCCTATGAAGTCAGATAAACACAACAAAAAGTATATGGAAAAATAAAAAATAAGCCAAAAAATTCCAAAGGAAAATTATAATGAAAACTGGTGAAGACTGACTTCCTGCTAGATTCCTTTTAATTTTGAAATTAACAAATCATAAACAAAACAAAACAAACACAATCATTTCCATATATGCAAAGTAGAACACAAAAAGAATTTTCTTTAAGAAACCATGAATCTCTATTCTATACTACTTGCCTTTTTAAAGAATATAATAAATTCAACATGTTTCTTTCAAGAGTGTCTTCTCTACACTTCTTTCTGTATTTTCTTCTGTTTTCCTCTATGCAGTTTTTTTCATATCTCAGTAGCTCTCCTCTTTTTCTTTCCTACTTTTTTCACATCACCATCCATACCCACTTCTCCTCCAAATATTCTCTCATTAAAAATGGGGAGGAGGAGAGAACCCTGTAATAAATAATCATAGTTGAGCAAAATAAATCTACGTAACAATCATGGCCAGAAATGTATGTCTCCAAAACTGTAGTGCATCACCTTTTATCAGGAAGTAGATAACATGCTTTATTATAGATCTTTCTGGGGACATGGTTGTCATTGCTTGGATCAGAGTTCCCAAGCCTTTCCAAATTGTTCTTCTTTATAATTTGTTATCATTGTAAAATCTGTTCTCTGACTTCTGCACTCTTTCTTCTGCATCAGTTCATATTTCCCAGGATTCTCTGAAGTCACCTGTTTCATCATTTCTTTTGGCAGAAAAATACTCCATTAAACAGCTTCTTCAGTCGTTCCCCAATTAATAGGCACCCTCTTGGTTTCTAGTTTTCTGGTTTTTGTTTGTTTGTTTGTTTTTTACTTTAAATCTCCCCCTTACAACCAGGATTGTAAAGCTAAATAAACTTATGACTATTCTCCCTCTGACATGGTCCTTCTTCATAACCAAACTCCCTTTCCTATGCCTGCATGTTTCTCTAATGAGTTTCATTCATTTCTACACCAAAATGTGTTTGTGTGTATGTGTGTGTGTGTGTGTGTGTGTGTTCAAAACTCCTTTATCTGGTTCAGAAGAGTAAATTTCACCTGTTGCCCACTCTCCTCAGCATTTCCTCCATATTGCACATTCTTCTCACAACCTAATTTTGAGAAAGCAGTAGTTCTACCTCCTTCCCTTCTCTATATTTTGACAATTCTACAATATTTCCTTTTGTGTTGCTTTTGCTTCCTCCATTAAAGCCCTCAGAATAGAATGAAGCTACAGTTAGTAACTCAATAAGTATTTACTAAGAGCTAACTATGTGCCAGGCACTGTGTTAAGCCATGGGAATAAAAATATAAGCAAAAAAAAAAAGCACCAGCCCTGCCCTCAGGAAGCTTACTTTGTAATGGGGGGGAGACAACAAATGAAAGATGAGCTGAAAAGAGGTGTGAGAGAGAAAGAGGTACTTGGTTGGGGGACTGGTGGCTAAGTTAAAAGAATTAGAGATGGCTGGTCTAGGGCCCTTCTTCAAAATGGAGGCTCTAGGAAGAACTTACTAGTAGGAGAAGCGGCCCACACGAACAAAATCAGGAGGAATTGTGCTTAAATCCAGACATCGAAAGATGACTGGTCTGGGGCCTTTCCCAAAAAAAAAAAAAGGAAGTATTGAAACCCCCCCCCCCCAGTGGGATAACAAGGGAACCAGGAGCAGATACAAGAGGCAGCTGAGACAAGTCCCCAGAATCAGGGATGTTTGGTCTGGAGTCCTTCTCCTAAATAGAAGTTCAGAGATTCATCTTCATAACCTCTCTTTTTCTTATATAACTCCCTCAATATCCTTTGAAGACATTAAGGTTCTATAAGGACACTTGTTTCTTAAGCACCTTCTAACTGCTCAAATAAATTTTTCTTTCCAGGTTTCTCCTAAATCTTATACTTGCATTTCAAAGTTCCTGATTTAGCTTAGCTCTGATTTTCTCCCTGTAGGATTATACTTAGTTTTGAAGGGTAAGCTATTCTTGAATGTAAACATATATCTTTTACCATTTAGAATATTTTACTCCAAGACTTCCTCTTGTTTATGGTAGAAACTGACAAGCCTTGTGTAATTCTGACTGTGGTTCCTTGGTACTTAAACTTTTTTTTTGTGGCTGCTTGTAGAATATTTTCTTCAACATCAAAGCTTTGGATTTGGGCTATAAAATTCCTGGGACTTTTCCTTCAGAGGTTTCTTTCAGAAGATCAATGGGTTCTTTCCATTTTCACTTTGCACTCTGATTGGATCTGGACAATTTTATCATAATTTCTTAAAATATGGTATCCAGGCTCTTTTTTTTTAATCTAAGTTTGCAGGGAGTCTGACAATTCTTGAATTATTTCTCCTTGACTCTCTTCTAAGATAATTGTTTCTGATAGAAGACACTTTCTATTTTCTCCCATTTGTTCTAATCTTTCTTCTTGTCTCATGGAATCATTGATTTCTGCATAGTCTATTCTAATTTTCAGTGTCCAATACTTGACTAAGGTTTGCCACTTTCTGTTCTAAAATTCTTTCCCTAGAGATTTTATTTTATGGTTTTATGTCTTATCCCATTTATTCCAGGTGTTCTCAAAACCCTTATGGAAAATCCAATTTTTTTGGTCTCTGCTTACAGTTATTACTCCGTACCAATGCTCTCTTTCTAGTTTGGATTTCAAGAAATCTCTAAAACTGAAAGAATTCTTTATGGTGGCTGATGTCCTCTGTTTAGTAATCTGTCCAACCTGCCTCCCACCTCCAAAGGTTAGCTTGTCCTTAGATTTTTGAAGTTCAGAGTGCTATATCTTCAAAGAACTCTATGGCATCTCAAGAAAGAATGCTAGGGGTCTCCAAGCCCCTAGGTTTAGGTTTCTGAATTCTACCGCCCACACTGGCTGGTTGTCTTCCCTCCTGGTTGGTTTCAAGGTTCATACTATAGGTTTCCTTATACATTGGGGCTTTCTCAGGGAGTTTCCGTTCTTGTTATCTGTAGATGCCGAGTCTTGCAGGACATATTTCATTATCAGAGACTGGAAGAGAGAGTGAGAGAGGATGTCAAGAGATTTTGAGATGAAGAGAAGAGGAAAAGATGGAGCTCAAAATGAATAACTTCAATTTTCTCACACACACACATGGCAAGGTTCTAATTGGAGAAAGTAAAAGAAAATTTTTCACTTTCCCTATCTTTTAACTATATGGTTCTCAAGGGGCAGCTAGGTGACTCAGTGGATAGAGCTCCAATCTTAGAGTCAGGAGAACACAAGTTCAAACCCCGTCTCAGACACACAACACTTACTAGCTGTGTGACCCTGGGCAAGTCACTTAACCTCAATGGCCTAGCAAAAAATAACAATAAAATTAAATTAAATTAACTATATGGTTCTCAAAAGGGGTGCCTCAAATTATTCCATGAAATTCCTACTTGTCCTCTGAGACTTGCACATTCCCCAGTCTCTGACCCCAATAGCAATGTACTACTGGCTATTCCCAGCTTGGAATCTGGAAGAACACAATAGACATTCTATCCATGGAGGACTTCTGCTCAAAGTCCTAGGGAAAAAAAGGATGCAAAAGAGGAAAGAAGGAAAAGTGGAGGAATCTCAAGGGCTAGGTAATGGAGTTGGAAGCCTAGCTACCAGATAACCCTGATTTCTTGCCAAATTAAAGAGTGCTTCAATTTGTAATAGCAAAGTTCTCGAGTAAAGAAAGTTTAAGAAACACAACTTCAAAGTAAACTTCTATGGAATAAGAATTCCCTATATATCTTGGAAAGATATTTTATATTGTTTATCAGAAGTAAGTGATATGAAGTTTTTCCTATTTAATAACTTCCTTCTCTTTCTGGTTGCATTGATTTTTGTTACTGCAAAACATGTGTGAATGGGGATGAAAAAAATTATTACAATCTCCCCACCATTTCAAAGAAGTTACAGAGGCTGAAGCTAGAACTAGAAGGAAAAATGACTTGGAATTTCCCTGTCCATCCTGACTGAAGATCAGTTATATGTGCACATGCAAATCAGGCTTTGCCAAAAGCAGTAAAAACCAATTGAAGCAGTGCATAAGGATGTACCAGGGAGAAAACAGACTCATCGGCCCTATGGCAGTAAGCTCCTTCCAAAACTAGAATGGATGGTCCTGTGTTCAGAGCTAAGCATGTCTCAGGTCCATTCAGTAGCTCCTGCTGAAGATGCAATGAGGCAAGACACTTACAGAGCATACTATGGTAAACAAACAATAACAGGATGGAAAGGCTACTCAACAAGAATGTAGCATTGTTCCAGTTAGGCACAGCTCCCCTTGCCACCATTCATTTCCTCAAGGATGTGCACCTGGCCAGAAGGTTGTGGTGACTCACAGAGCAGGGAGGAATCTGCTGATGAAGGAAGATCCCTGACTGCTTGGGTACCATGCTATTACACCTTAGACCTCTGAGAAGTTACGTCAGCAGTTCATACTTTAAACTCCTGGTTGAATTCAGTCTCAGAGATGATATCATTGATTCTTAAGTAAGTTCAGGCTATGTATTGAAGGTTTCAAGTTAGTTAGTAGGGCTTAATGCCGTGATTTCCAACCAGATCAGTAGAAGCTATCACTCCTACCACACTTTGGATGGTAGTAGGTTGCCTTTCATTAGATGTCTTCACACAAAAATTGAATAATCTTTGGTGGTCACTTGTTCAGTATATTGTGCAGGTAGTTCTTGTTCAGATATGGGCAGGATTAGATGGCCTGCAGGTGTATAGGATCATAAATTTAGTTTTGGAAAACTTAGAGATCACATAGCCCAACACTTCCATTTTAGCAGAAGAGGAAACTGAGTTTCTTCACCCATTGGTGAATTCTTCCCAGAACCTCAGTTTTTGGAAAGAGGCCCAGACCAACCATCCCTCATTCTCTATACTATGCTGGCATGCCCTCCTCTGGGTAGCTTGCCTTTCTGAATTTCCCTTTTCTTTGTTGGCTTTTCTCTATTAAAATGTAAGCTCCTTGATGATAGGGACTGTCTTTCTTTTTTGCTTGCATTTGCATCTCCTAGGTTTAGCACAGTGTCAGGAATTTAGTAAACTCTTTAATAAATGCTTATTGACTAATGGGTTGACTGATTATAAATTAATTCTGATATGGTCTTAAGAAAGGAAAGGAAATGGAGGATAAAAGAAATATTCTAGTATAGAAAAAAAAGGCAGAGAAAAGTGGAACTTCTCTTTCTCAGAGTTGGGTTGTGTAAGAAGATTACAAAATATAGTAATCCATTAATATTGTAGTGAAGTTTGAGCATCTTGGTGTTTGAGATTGGGATGAAGTCATGAGAAAAACTGAAAGAGAAAGAAAGTTTTTATGTCTTGGCTGTGCACCAGCACAGATTTACCCTCTATCCATTTACATGGACTTTGCACAGACAAAGAAAGAATTCCAGTCCTTTATTTTTTTCCTCCCATGGCCAGGAGCAGAGAGATTAGATGTTCCACTCTGTCATTCCATGCCAATTCTTCCAAGAGACTTGGAGCAAAGAAATTTCCTGGTATGGCTACAGTCTTAAGTTGCAGCTGTACTATGCAGTACAGCACAGCAAAGAAGGAACAGGTGCAGAATCAAAGATCTGTGGTAGTCATACAGAGACCCAGGTGATCAGGAAAGGACATGGCACTGTCATGGGAACTGGAACAGAGTAAGACCAAAGAGGGATGGCTGCTCCTGTGAAACCCCAGCATGGTCCATGGTCAGACCAGGGAGAGTTGGTATCAAATGCTGACACTGCCCCCTGTTTTCTCCATTTGCTTGGAGGAGCAATATTATCAAGTTATGAATTTGCAATCCCTCTCCTAATTCTATTCCTCATGCCCTACCATACAGTGAAGATTGAAAGTGGGAGGATCATAAGGAAATTTAATGCCTTATTTACAATTACCAGTCATTAAACTTTTTTCAATAAATTACTTGACCATTAAGAAGAGAAATTGGCAGCAAAAGATAATGTAGACAATTTTAATTACATGAAATTGAAGTTCTTTAGCACTAATTAAAGCAATATAACTAGGATAAGTTGGGATGCTCTTATTTGGGAAAAAATTGTTTTCAATCAAGTCTCTCTAATATGATCTGATATCCAAAATTTATAGGAAATTAACCCCAAACACAAAAGAATAAAAGTCATTCCCAAACAGATGAGTGGCAAAAAGAGACCATCATTTAGCCTTGTCTTCAATGTTGACCTTGACTTTGCCATCCATTATATTAACTATCCTTTCCAGCTCCCAATCACCCCCCAAAAAAAAGTCTTCATTTGAGTCTTTGATAAAAAAAAGAATCAGGTGAAGAGATCAGGCCATGGACAGCAAAGAGAAGTTCAGCACAGGAAATGGTCATTCAATCTTTGTGTGCAGCTCTTTAATGAAGGGCAACTATTACCTCCCAAGGTGTGGTAGTAGCAATAACCCCTACCAGTCTGGTTGGAAATCATGTCATCAGTCTCTATTATGCAGTTTGAAATTCACTATGCATAGCCAAGCTTTCTTAAGTCAATGAAATGATTTTTCAGACTTGACTCATCCAGGAGATTAAAATATGAATTGTCGATGTAACTTCTCAGAAACATAAGGCATAAAGCTCAGTGCACACACAGTCAATGATCATCATTCATCAGCACTGCTCCTCCAAAAAAGGAGCTTGGTAATTTGGTTTTCTTCTTTTTTTAATCAAATTAATCAATGGTTTGCCTTTTTTTCCTAAAACCAGCTCTTAGTTTTATTCATTAATTCAATGGTATTTTTGCTTTCAATTTTATTAATCTCTCCTTTGATTTTCAGGATTTCTATTTTAGTGTTTAATTGGGGATCTAAATTTGTTGTTAAGTTGCATGTCCAATTCATTCATCTACTCTTTCTCTCTCTCTCTCTCTTTCTCTCTCTCTCTCTCCCTCCCTCCATCAATCCCTCCCTCTCCCTCTCTCCTGATGTAAATGTTTAGAGATGTAATTTTTTTCTAAGTATTGCTTTGGCTGCATTCCACAAACTTTGGTAGGTTGTCTCAATGTAGTCATTATCTTTAATGAAATTACTGATTATTTATTTTATTGGTTTTTTGACCCACTCATTCTTTAGGATTAGATTATTTATTTTCCAGTTAATTTTTAATCTGTGCTTCATGGGTTACATTTCAGTAGAGATTTTCAAGTAGGGGATAGACAACCAATTGTCAGAGAAGTCATAGAAGGGACACCAATTCAGAAATGGGCTCAGACTAGATGTCTTCTGAAATCTCTTAAAGTTCTGAGAAACTCTGTGATTCTATAAAAAGAAAATGAGTGAGAGTTGAGTCACTTTCTCTATCTCAGTTTTCTCAACTATAAGATGGGAGCAATAGTGTGTGAATTGTCTGCCTCACAAGAGTAGAGTTAATCAAGAGAAAGGATATAGTGGGGCAGCAAGGTGGTGCAGTGGATAGAGCACCGGCCCTGAAGTCAGGAGGACCTGAGTTCAAATCCGGCCTCAGACCAAACACTTGACATGTACTAACTGTGTGACTTTGGGCAAGTCACTTAACCCTGATTGCCTAACCCAAAAAAAGAAAAAAAGAAAAAAAAGAAAGGATATAAAAAATCATTCTGTAGTGTAAAATGTCAAACAAGATATAATTGATAATTATTGCTCTGAGACAAAGCCCAGGCCATGCACCCAGAGCACACATCATCCCCACACCCCCATGGAAGTGAAAAGACTGTAAGCGCTGCTGGAAGGGGTCTTGATTCTTGGTCATGGAGAAGTTAGAGGATGAAGGAAGGCTTTCCAGAGTCAGCTAGTAAAGGAAAATTTCAATTTGGGAGTCAAAAACATCATCTCATTCCCCAGATGGCCTTGATCTTTCTGGTTTTGAAACCCCAGATGTGAATGAGTATATTTCTGGGCTACACACCAACACCCCAGGCAACTACAGAACCCCAGGATCCAAAAGCACCTTACCAATGAAAGCAGAACAGCATGATTTTAAGTCAACCTGAGACAATCTTTGGGGGATTAGCAGAAGGCCTGCATTTAATACATGTGTTCTTAATGGTCCTGCCTTACCCATTTCTCTTGTAGAAGTCTCCTTGGAGAACCCTGGAGGCAGCAGCAAGGTGAGTTGTTGCTGAATGTGAGTAAGATGGAGTCAAGCAGCCATGAGAGAGAAAGCAAGTGAAGTTAGTGGAGGTAAGAGAGAGGAAAGAGGGGGTCAGATAAAGGGAAAAGTAAATGAGATCAAGTAACACTGAGACAGATCATTGATTCAGAACCAGAAGAAGCATCAGAAATCATCTAGTTCATGGGGCAGCTACGTGGCACAGTGGACAGAGCACTGGCTCTAGAGTCAGGAGGACATGAGTTCAAATCCAGCCTCAGACACTTGACACTTACTAGCTGTGGGACCCTGGGCAGTCACTTAACCCCATTGCCTACCCAAAAAAAACATCCAGTTCAACCTACTTATTTAACTGACGAGGAAACTGAAGCCCAAGGAAGTGAAATGAGTTGCCCCAGATCACATAGATAGTAAGTGTCAGAGGCAGGATTTGAACCAAGGTCCTCTGACTCCAGCTGTGCTGCTCTTTCCACCACACCATGCTACCTCTCTTGAGATAGAATCAGAGAGAGGAGAGGTGAAAGTCAGCTAAACGTGAGACAAGGGAAGGGTGTAAGATATAGAATTAAGTAAAAAGATAAATGGGATGACAGAGAACAGAAATGGAATCCTAGGAAGATGAGATAGGCTCTAGGAGAGAGTGAGAATCAGGCAAAGATGACATGGGGTCGGGAACAGGAGAGTCAGGGTCCCAAGGTGGAGGAGCCTATGAGAGTCCAGTAAAATGTCACAGACATCTACATCTAATAATGGCTGACAATTGTAGAGTATTTTGACGTTTCTAAGGTGCTATACATACATTATCTCATTTCAGCTACATGGCAACCCTGTAAGACATATGAACTGTACCCATTTTATAGATAAGGAAAATGCTCAGAAAGGTTACTTGACATTGTCTGGTCACAAAGTCATTAAGTATCATTGGTAGGATTTGAACTCAATCTTCCTGATTCTAAGGTCAGCATTCCTACTCTAGCATCCTTCCTCCTAGCCTAGTTCAGGTCCCAGAGCAGTGCCTTGGACAGGTGTTCTAACCTTATGAGATTATTCATTTTTTCTCATCAGCTGAAGAATCTTTCTTTCCACCTTGAATCATTTATTACCATTCATGACTCTTGGACTGCTGAGAAAAAGAGAAGAATTGGAAGCGATGTGACAGAACTATTACAGTGCCTAGAACAGGCTGTGTTGGAGGATGCTCTCAGGTCTCCTAAGGTCCAGGTGGCGCAAAACAATTCTGTTCTGGGTAAGGCCATTATAGCAAAAGGTAGCTGTGTCTTCAGGATCCCAACAAAGACTGGATTCAGTCCCCTCAATGGAACAGCAAGTAATTCAGTAGAAAAGTCAATTAATCAGGTTCTTATAGTGAATGTATAGCATTCGGTGACCCACATGCAGAATAGTGGGTCTTGGCAAATGTCTGTCAAACACATAGTAGGTGTTTAATAAATCTTTGTTGATTGATTGGTTGGATGGATGGATGGGCTCTTAAGACAAGCTATGGATGAATGGATTTTGAGCAAGGGTAGCTGACCTTCAGGACTGCAGCTTTCTTCAGTTCATGCCATGTAACAAAATCACCTTCACTCCATTGTCCAACCCCTCCATGATGAATGCCTTCCCTCATGGCAGTACCCCTCCCTACCTGCCTCTTCCTACTCCATCTGCCTCACCCGATGCTGGGGGTGAGGATCAGAAATCAGGCAGCATTCATAGCCAAACTGCAGGGAGTCAGGCTGGACTGTGTAGGTGATGGGCTGCCCCTTTTCATGGGGAAGGGACAAATAAATCTACCTTTCCTTGACTTAATCTTCCCCAGGGGCCAAAATTCCTAGTCACAGTTCTACTGGGACCAGCCTAGCTGAATTTAGAAAAGCTAGGATCACCTTGTCTGATCAAATGATAAATATTTTGACCATCCCACTTTTGTAGAAGACCTCCAATGAAAGGGAATCCACTGCTTCCTGAGGCATCCCTTTATGCATCTGGATAGTTCTTCTAGGAAGTTTTTCAAGCCAATGCAAAATTTTCACCCTTCCATTGCTCCTGGCTTCAAATAGTATGAGTCTACTCCTCCTTCCAACTGAGAGCTTTGTCAGCTTCGAATCAAAGTAGGGAGCTTATTCTATTGAAAAAATTGGGGAAATGGTGCTAGGCTAATCCTTGAGTAAAATGCTGACCTTTAATGATGGTTGACCATCTACATTGTCACTATCCAAAGTACAATGAAGATGTACATCAGATGTGGATCCCTCAGACTCATACAATCGACATTTCAATGACAAGAAACTGTGCCATTCAGACATTCCTGCCATTGGCCCAGATAACTGAATCTGTCCCCTGAGTGTCAGTGGTCCCAAAAGGAGACAAAATCAACTGTCATTTCACATAACGTCCCAGGGGTCAGATGTAGCTCATTCAAGGAAATGGGCTAGGATGCTTCAAATGGTGGTGGCTTCTTGGCTAAGAAGCAGCAAGGCAGGTGGGCTCATTTATTTCCTTGTTGTTCCCAGCTTTTGAAACACGTGTAATCAGCAACTGCTCCCAGGAAAATGGAAACACTAGACTGGAAGCTCAGAATAATTCAGTGAAAATTTCCTGCATGGACATCATCTGCTCAAATACTCAAGGTACACTCACTTTATGGACTCTGTACTCACCCAGAACAGACAGGAATGCCATACAATCCTTCAGTGTCAGAGAGTCCTCAAGTATCTGACTCAACCAACCTGTAACTATCTAAACAAAAATCCCTTTTGCCGTAGACCTCAATGGCAAAAAATCATCAGGTATCTGTTTGGAGGGCTACAATGGGGGAAGCTACATCCCTGGCCACCCCTTACCACTTTGGGATAGCATAAATTGTGAGCAAAGTCTTTCTTACTTCAAGGACAAATTGCCTTCTTCGCAAATACCATTACAAATACCATTAGCCTAATCTTTTTTTTTCTTACAAATTTTACTAGATTGCTGAAAGCTAAATTATTGTTCTATTGCTGTCCTGATCTATAATTTCATCAGTGTGGGAAACTCCCAGTGTGTACATTCCATCTACCAATGCAGATCAGTAACTCATCTGGAACTGGAGTGCTGAAAGGTTAGGTGACTTACCCATGGTCACTATAGAAGGAGGGGCTTCTGGGGAAGCTTTGATAACTGTTAATTTGTCATTTAGTAGTTTTCAGTAGTGTCTGACTCTTCCTGATCACTTTTGTGGTTTTCTTGCAAAGACTGGAGTGGTTTACCATTTCCTTCTCCACCTCATTTCACAGATGAGGAAGCTGAAGCAAACAGTAAAGTGACTTGTCCAGGGTCACACAGCTAGTAAGTGTCTGAGGTCACATTTGAAGTCAGGTCTTCCTGATGCCAGATCTGGTACTCCAGGTGTGCTACCTAGCTGCCCTTTGGTAACTGTTAAACTTAGATTTAAGTCAACTCAACTAACATTTATTAAGTGCCTACTATTTGCAGATCAGTGAAAGACAATGTGGTATGGTAGATAGAGATCTGGCCTTGAAGTCAGGAAGACATGGGTTTAAGTCAAAGTGACCTTCCTAAAATGCAAGTCTAGTCATGTCATGTCCTACACCCTTTCTCAATAAACTCCAATGGCTCCCTAGGACCTCTAGGATCAAGTGTAAAATTCTCTGACATTCAAAGCCCTTCATAACCTATACCCTACCACCAACTTTTCCAGTCTTCTTACACCTTACGCCCCACCAGTGACACTGGCCTCCTTGTTGTTCCTCATACAACAAACTCCATCTTTCTACTTTGAGTATTTTCCCTGATTGTCCTCCATGCCTGGAATGCTCTACCTCTTCATCTCTACTTCTAGCTTCCCTGGCCTTCTTTAAATCTTTTCCAATTCCCCTTAATTCTACTGCCTTCCCTCTGTTGATTATCTCTAATTTATTTCATATATAGCTTGTTTATATAGAATTGTTTTCATGCAGTTTCTCCGTGAGCTCTCTGAGAACAGAAATGGCCTTTTGCTTTTCTCTGTAACCCCAGCACTTAGCACAATGCCTGACACAAAGTAGGGACTTAATAAATTTTTATTGACTAACTACCTGACTATTCAAGTCCTTTCTCTTCCCCATAATGGGCAAAGGATTTAATGTTCCTCACCAGAAGATCCCAGCACTGATGAAATCACAATGTGCAACACACTGTGCTTCATACTTAATATCTAAAGACATATATAAAACAGTGTCAGTCTAGATACCACTATCTTTGCCCAGAAAAAAAAAAAACCCTTTACTCTTGATTCCTATAGACCAAACTGGTCTACCCACTCCTGGTATTCCCACTGTTAGACAAGTCTGTTCTAAGAAAAGATGACACTGCCACAGGCTAGCTCAGGAAACATGAGCAGATCTCTTGCTTATGGGCCTCTTAACTTGACCTCTCAGACTCTCAGAGTGTTGAAGAATGAATGTATATGACATGGCTGAAGATAGAACAAAAGAGACTGTGAAGGAGCAGTCAGACAAGAAGGAGCAGAACCAGGAGAAAGCAGCATCATGATAACTCACAGAAGAGATAGTATCCAGGAGGAGAAGGTATTCAATTGTGTCAAATCCAGCAGTGGTCAAGAAGTGTAAGGATCGAGAAGAGGCCAGTAGATTGACAATTAAGAGATCATGGGTCATTTTGGAGAGACATCAACTTCAGTTGAACAACAAGGTTGGAAGCCAGATCACAGAGGTTTGAAAGCAAGTGAGAAAGTAGAGGCATTTCAAGTGCCTTCTAGACTCTCAACCACAAGTGCTGAAGAACAAAGCCCCAAGCTCAGCCCTCTCAACTCTATCCCCAATGTCTCACTCCATAAACTCCCACTCTTCTACTGTGCCTTCTGAAAGGTCTGTTCCACAATTAACAGAAGTGGTTTCATCTTAAACCTCTCCTTTCTCCCCTTCTCATTCTTTTCATCTTTGGGCACTCATTGAGAACTGGTTCACTCCAGATGACTTGGTTTCCCTGACCACCCTTTCCAGCAATGGTTGCTTTCACTCATATGCTCTGACTCAATGGTCATGATAGGAGAGTCCTAATATTCTCTGCTTCCCATTACCACATCTGGACTCTCCCTTTACCATCATCACTCAGCAACCTCTCCTCTGAGTTTCATGCAATCCAAATCTTATCACCTAATCCAGATTCTGATAGCTGTAATCTACTGACTCCCAAGATAGCCTCCCTTTCTTTCTCATTGAGTTTGGTGCCAAGTTGACAGTCTCCCTTTCCCCCTCATGTTCTTCCTTTCATTTTAGGAGACTGCAACATACACTTTATTTGTTCCTTCAAATACCCTAACTTCCCAGTTCAGCAATTTCACAACTCCTCACAGCTCACCTCCCACAACCAACTCTGCAGTTCCATTTCTGCTACCCACAGGGTTAGTTGGACCCGGGATCTTGCCACCACCTACAAAAAGTTTGCTTCCATGTTCACAACCTCTGGATTTTTACCATAATCTCTTATCTTTCCATCACTCCCTGTGCCTCTCTCTCCCTAAACCTTCCCTGTGTCCTCATGATGACCTCCAATCCCTCCATCCCTTAGTACGATTCCAGGCCATCACTCCTACTCTGGCTAGACCTCCCCCTTTTCCAGTCTTGGCTCCCTCAAGCAAACCAGTTCAACTCTATTCTATTCTCTACTCTTGAATCAATTGTTTCCCTATCCTATCATTAATCATGCTTTGATAAGCCTCAACACTCAATTATTCCCCACCTGCCTCCTTTGCTCTAATTCAAATGCTGCTGACCAGAACTGGAGGAAATCACAAATCTTTGTGGACTGGGTTCACTATAAAATTGTGCTGGACAACTTCTCCTGGGCTTTCACTCCATCAAGGCAGGCTTCTTTAATTGGCTCCCTAGGTACCTATCCCTATTCAAAACCTGTTTCTCTCTCAAGTTTCTCAAATCACTCCTATCTCTGCTGAGGACCTTGTCTCATACTCCACTGGAAAAAAAAAAAAACAAGGCCATACTTCTTCTCAATGAAACCCCTTGAAAAAAACCATCAACACTCAGTGCCTCCACTTCCTCAGTTGCTTTGAGACCTCTGTGATCTGACTTCCAACCTTATCATGTCAAAGTTCTCTCTACAAAATGGTCAGGGATCTCTTAATTGCCAACTCTAATGGCCCCTACTTGATCCTCATTCTTTGACCTCTTTGACACAGTTGACCCTGCTCCTCCTGGATACTATCTCTTCTCTGAGTTTTCATGACACTGCTTTCTCTGGGTTCTCCTTCTTGTCTGACTGCTCCTTTGCCATCTATTTTGTTCAGCCTTCACCCATGTCACCTACACTAACTTTTTTAGGTTATATCCTGGGTCCTCTTCTCTTTTTGTTCTATTTTATTCTCACTTTGTGATCTCATCAATTACTATGCATTCAAGTATCATCTGGCTCGGTAGATGATTCCCAGATATGTTTGTATATTCCTAGCCTCCCTCTCTTCACATCACCAAGTGCCTGTCAGACATTTCAGACTAGATGTGCTATAGGCATCTCAAACTCAATATGTCCAAAAGAGAACCTATTATCTTTTTTTTAATGCTTTGCTTATTAAGAGCATCCTTTTTACTGTCAAGGGAACCACCATCCTCCCAGTCACCCAACCTCTCAACCTCTATGTCATCCTTAACTCCTCTCTCTTGCTCAACTGGCAAGTCCAATAGTTCCCAAAGCCTGTCATTTCTACCTTAACAACCTTCTCTCTTACACATCCTCTTCTTTCCACTCACAAAACCATCACCTGAATATCAGCCCTCATCACCAATCCATCCTGTACTCAGATAACAAAGTAATTTTCCTACTGTAGAAGTCTGACCATATCATCTCCCTTCTCATTAAACCCAATGATTCTCTACTACTTTCAGGACCAAATATAAATCCCTTTTTTTGGCATTTAAAACTCTTTATAACCTGGCCTCTTCCTACCTTTCCATTATTCTTACATACTCCTCTTCAGGCTCTCTACAATACATGATGTTTCATCTTTTGTACTCCATGCATGCCTTTCACTAGCTGTTCCCCATGCCTGGAATGTTCTCCCTCCTAATCTCTAACTCTTAGAATTCCTTGGACTTCCTTTAAAATTCAGCCTAAACACCACATCCTCCAGGAGCACCTACCTAGTTATCACACACACACACACACACACACACACACACACACCTGCTAGTGTCAACATCTCTAAGGTTATCTGTATTATCTATTATCTATATCTGTACTCTGTATTTATCTTGCATATTTTGATTTATAAAAGTGTGCTCCCCCATTAAAATATAAACTGCTTGAGGTCAGGGACTGTTTGTTTCATTTCTTTTTATCCCTCATGCTTAGCACAGTGTCCGTCACATTAGTCACTTAATTGATTGAGTGACTTAGTGGACAGAATCCACCACCAGGAAACTAACTTGTTGAGGAAATATGGGATTGAATCAGACCTTTTGCCTTGGAGGACTTTACTCCTTTTTTCTTTTTTTTTTCTTTTTTTTTAGGTCCAAGTGCAGTTGCTTTTCTCTCCTATGTTTCCCTTGGGACCATTATAAATGCATCCTTTTTTGAGGAGAACCATGGGAAGAAGAGTTATGGAATCTACCTGAACTCCCAAGTAGTCAGCACTGCTATAGGACCTCAGCAATCTGAATCCTCCTCATTTTCTGTTCTTTTGAGTTTCCAGCACATTCAGGTGGGTATGAACCACAGGTCATAGACAATATATTCATGGAAGTGGGCAAGGCAGCTAAAAGATTCAATACTATACCAGCTAAAAGATTCAATGAGATAATATTTGTAAACAGCTTAGCACAGTGTTTGTGTATAGTAGGTTCTTCATAAATGGTTTCCTTTTTCCCTCCCATGGTCAGAGCAATGTGTAGAACAGTAGGAGCATAGGATGGGCCTCAGAAAGATAGGTTTTTATGTGCTAGAATTCTTCTGGTTTCCTTGTTTAAATTTTGTTATTAATTTTAACATTCTTTTCTTTTTAAATTTTGTGTTCCAAATTCTCTTTCTCTCTCTTACCCCCTCCCTCACCCACTGAGAGGGCTGCAATATAATATCAACTATACTTGTGAAATCATGCAAAATGTATTTCTATATTAGCCATATTGCAAAACAAAGCCAAAAAAATGAGAACATTTTACTTCAATTTGCATTCAGAGTTGTCAGCTTTCTCTCTGGAGGTGGATAGCATTTTTCCATTATGAGTCCTTTAGAATTATCTTGGATCAATGTGTTAATCAGAATAGCCAAGTCTTTCACAGTTGATCATCATTACAACATTGCTGTTACTATGCACAAGGATCTCCTGGTTCTTTTCACTTCACTTTGTATCAGTTCATATGAGTCTTCGCATATTTTTCTGAAACTATCCTACTCGTCATTTCTTATAACACAATAGTACCCATCACAATCATCTGCTACAACTTGCTCAGCCATTTCCCAATTGATGAGCATACCATTGATTTCAAATTCTTCACCACCACAAAAAAGAGCTGCTATAAATATCTTTGAACATTCTGTATAAGTCCTTTTCCTTTTCCTTTGATCTCTTTGGGTTACACACCTAGTAGTGGTATTTCTGGGTAAATGGGTATACACAGTTTTGTAACCCTTTGGGCATAGTTTCAAATTGTGCCCCAGAATGGTTAGACCAGTTTACTATTCCACCAACAGTTCATTAGTGTAATTGTCCCCCAACCCCTCCAGCATTTGTTATTTCTAATAGGTATGAGGTGGTACCTCAAAGTTGTTTTAATTTGCAATTCTCTAATCAATAGAATATTTTTATATGACTAAAAATACTTTTGATTTCTTCTTCTGAAAATGGCCTGTTCATATCATTTGACTATTTATCAATTGGGTAATGGCCCTTTTTTTTTATCAATTTGACTCAATTCTCAATATATTGAGAAATGAGGATTTTATCAAAGAAACTTCTGTAAAAAAAAATTTTTATATTACTTCATTGTCTATGGTGCCTTTCACCAAAATGTAATTTCCCTCATTATCATTTTTAATTAGATCTATTTTTGCTTTTGCTTTGTCTAAGAGCATAATTGCTACCCTTGCCTTTTTTACTACAGTTGAAGTTATTAGATTCTGTTCCAGTTCTTTATTCTAACTCTGTGTGTCTTTCTGTTTCAAGTATATCTCTTCTAAACAACATATTGTTGGATTCTGGTTTCTAATCCATTCTGCTATGTGCTCCTATTTTATGGGTGAGCTCATCCCATTTACATTCACAGTTATGACTACTAACTGTGTATTTCCCTCTATCCCATTTTCTTCTGTGTAGTCTTCCTTCTCTCTTTTCATCTTATCCCACCTCAAAAGGCTATTTTGATTCTAACCACTGCCTCCCTTAATTCACCCTCCCTTTGATCATCCCCCTTTTCTTTTATTCCCTTCCCCTCCTGTTTCCTTTTTGGGTAAGATAGATTTCTATACACAACTGAATGTGTGTGTATGCATGTATGTATGTATATATATATATATTCTTCCCTCTTTGAACCAACTCCAATGAGAGTGAGGTTTAAGCACTGCCTGCCACTGTCTCCCATTTTTTCCTTCACTGTAAAAACTCTTCCTTGCATACCTTTTTTATGTGAGAAAATTTCCTCATTCTACTTCTCCCTTTCTCCTTCTCCTAGTGCATCCTTCTTTTTCACTCTTTTTTTTTTTTGGAGATCATTCCAACATAATCATACCCATGTCTTCTGTCTATGTAAACTCCTTTTAACTACCCTAATAATGATACAGTTCTTAGGAGTTATGTGAATCAACCTCTCATATAGGATTGTAAACAATTTAACCTTATTGAGACTCTTATGATTCCTCTTTCATGTTTACCTTTTTCTACATTTTTTGTGTCTTGTGTTTGAAGGTCAGATTTTCTATCCAGTTCTGTTCTTTTCATCTGGAATGCTTGAAAGTCCTCTACTTCATTAAATATCTATTTTGTCTCCTAAAGGATTATACTCAGTATTGCTGGATAGGTGATTCTTGGTTGTAATCCTAGCTCCTTTGCCCTCTGGAACATCACATTCCAAGCCCTTCAATCCATTAAGATAGAAGCTACTAAATCTTATGCTATCTTGACTGTGACTCTACATTATTTGAATTGTTTCTTTCTGGCTGTTTATAATATTTTCTCCTTGACCTGGGAGTTCTAGAATTTAACTACAACGTTCCTGGGAGTTTTCATTTTGAAATCTCTTTCAGGAGGTGATTGGTGCATTCTTTCTATTTCTATTTTACCTCTAGATCTGAGATATCAGGGCAGTTTTCCTTGATAATTTCTTGAAATATGATGTCTAGGTTCTTTTTTTTTTTTTTTGATCATAGCTTTCTGGTAGTCCAAAAATTTTAAATTTTCATTTTTCAATCTATTTTTCAGGTTAGTTGTGTTTCTGATGAAATATTTCACATTTTCTTCTATTTTTTTTCATTTTTTAAATTTTGTTTTATTGTTTCTTGATGTCTCGTGGAGTCTTTATCTTCCACTTGCCCAATTCTAATTTTTAAGGAATTATTTTCTTCGTGAACTTTTGTACCTCTTTTTCCATTTGGCCAATTCTGCTTTTTAAGGAATTTAATGAATTCCTTCAGTGAATTTTTGTGCCTCTTTTACCATCAGGTCAATTCTGTTTTTAAAGTGTTATTTTCTTCAGTGTTTTTGTGTCTCTTTTATCAAGCTGTTAATTCTTTTTTCATAATTTTCTTGCCTCATTCTTGTTTATTTTTCCTCTACACTCTTATCTTGTTCTTTAACACTTCCTGAAATTCTTGTTTGGTTTGTGTCCAATTAGCATTTTTCTTTGAGGATTTGGCTGTAGCTGTTTTTGCCTTATTGTCTTCTTCTGAGTTTGACTTAGTCTTCTCTACCACTGTAGTAGTTTTTTATGATCAAGGTCTTTCTTCTTGTTGTTTGCTTTTTTCCAGACTATTTCTTCACTTTAAATTTTATGTTAAAGTTGGGTTCTGCTCACCTAGGGGTGGGCAACCACTGTGCCAAGTCTCAGGTTTTTTGTGCTATTATTTTCAGAACTAGTTCTGGGGGTCTACAAGTTTTCAGTGCTTCCAAAGTGGTATGATAGGGGGAGAGGTATGGTCAACATTCTCCTGATCTGTGCTCTGGTCTTTACCCATGAAGGGCCCCTTTTCCCCTGAAGCTGTAAACACTAGCACCCCTCTTGACCCTGGAAGTGTGACCAGTGCTCCTACTACCTTATGACTGACCATAAGTGTTCCTCTCTGCTCTGGAACTGCAACTGAGAATTGAGTGTGGGCAATAGATTTGCTCATCACTGCCAGCTGTACCTAATGCCAGCAACCAATCCCTTGGAATCTCTCTCTGACCAGTTGTGTGACCCCCCCTTATTGTCCTGGGGCTTGAGAGTTCTCAAAACTGCTTTTGCTGTAGCCACTGTTCCAGCCACAATGTGTGACCTGTCCTGTACACCTTGTATGTTTTCTTAGGCTGGAAAAATGTCTCACCCTGACTTTCTGTGGGTTCTGCCCCTCCAAAATTTGATTTGAGGTATTATTTTATGATTGTTTGGAGGGGAATGTTGAGAAAGTTCAACTGGGCTGCTGCCTCTAATCTGCTCTCTTGGCTCTGCCCTCAAGAATGCCTTTCCATGCTCCCATATGCCAGAACTCTTGATCAGTTCAGGGAAAACGAAGAAAATAAGCCCTTATATACATGTACCATATGCCAGGCACTGTACTAAGTGTTTTTATATAATATTTCATTATCACAACAACCCTGCCAGGTAGATGTTGTTATTATCCTCCTGTTTATAGTTAAGGAAACTGAGACTAAGGGAGATTAAGTGATTTGCCCAGGGTCACACCGCTAGTAAGTGTCTGAGGCTGAATTTGAACTTAGGTCTTCCTGACTCCAGACACAGTACTCTATCCACTATGCCACCTAGCTGCCTAGTTCAAATAAAGATTAATGTATTAGGACAAGAGCAGGATCACAGAACTATTTAGTTTCTCCTTTTCAATTATTCTCTGTTTGGCCTCCATTCTACATTTGCCATAAAACTTAAGTTTAGAAACATCCTTATCATCAAAATTAGAACTAGGAAAGGGCCATAGACACTTTCTCCTTGGGTCCAAATTTATAGGGTACTGACAGCATTTCAGAAACATCAGAGCTTAAAACCTAGTTAGTTAAGAAAAATTAGTAAAAATAAAATGCTACCAGATGGCACACATTCTGTTAAATTCTTCCCCCAATCCAGTCTGCTCACCATCTGAAGATAATTTTTAGGCCACATGTCCAGGCACAAAAATTCCTAGTTAAGGGTCTGCTGGTCTCCATCTTTCTTAGACAGAACAATGAATATTTCTGATCATAATATCCTATCATTACCTCATTCCCTATGCTTTAGTATTAAACCCAATCTTACTATCTTAATCTTCAATATGACCTCCAATCTCTCTACCCCTCAATACTTTCCCAGGCCATGGCTCCTGCTCTGGCTTCACTTTTCTCCTTTCCTCATCTCTTATTCAGTTAACCAGTTCACCTTGACACTATTCTCTACTCTGTCATCCCTCTTCTTTTATCCTATAATCACTCACGTCTTTCCAAATTCTAATCCTGTATTACTCTCACCATTGACCTCCTCCATTCCTACTCAAATGCTGCTCAAAGGCAATCCTTTTACTCTT